CCTGCTGATTCCAGCTTTGGAAATACCCATGTGAAGGAGAAGACAATAGAATTGGGAAAGGAAGCAGTAGTAAGGCAGCAAGGGTGCCCCAGGACACACACCTGATGTGCATTTCTCAGTAAATACCAGACTCTGCAACAACAATTTCCAAAGCTCTATGGATTATACCTAACTGACAGGCTTTGACAGCCCCTCAGACTTGCCTGCTGCACATCCATCACTCGCAAAGGGAGACAGTACCAAGCTACTCAACTCTACAAAAAATGCCTTTCAACATCTGTAATGAAAGAGGCATCAACAGAACATACTTTGTAAGTGAAAAAGTGTAGCTGCCTACACGGAAAATGGAAAGTGAGGAACAAAGCGAGTGATAAATAATTTCTTTCACAGATATTTGCCTAACTCACTCTAAATGGGAAATTGATTCCTATCTGCAATAAAAAATTCCACTCTTATAAAGACAGAACTCTACCAGAGCAAGGACTGAAAACAGAGAATGACCCACCTGAGGGAGCTTCTTGTGAGCGCAGTTCATTCCTCCAATGAAAATCATGTTGGGCATCAAAGGTCTTGGATAATCTAACACAAAATCTAACCTCATGAGCCAAATAGAAGCCTTGCGTAAGAGATCTGCCACAGTCACATCCCGCTGGAGGAACTCGGAAGCCAGTTTTGCATATGGTTGAAAGAGAAAATCACAGAGGAAAAAATTTGGAATGTCAAAGATTAGATTCTTCACGCGCTGGAAAAAGTTCATGTGGTCTGTAAGGTCTGTGAATATCCTGGGGACATAAGAAGAGGGATTGGGGCATAGACTGGCTTCAGAATCTAAACCACATGGTATTAGTCGCAAAAAAAACACGGAAGGGACTGAGAGATGCTCAGCCAGGATCTGCCCGCAGGGTAGTACAGCAGTAAGGACGGCATCAAATTTGCTCTCCTCAAGATATCTGAGAAGCTCCTTGTTGGACAGTAAGTGTGCACAGTGCGAGAACGCCAAATCAGAGATTTTTTTCATTCCCTGGTATGCTGTAAGAAATCGTTGCATAAAAGATCCTTCTTCAAATAAATCTTGAAAAAATGCCTGGAAATTTTCATCCATTTCTTGTTGTGTGAAAGGAAGTGGGTACGTTTTCATGACAAGATTCTTCGTTGGTTTTATGTTTATATTTATCTCTGGTGCAAGGACGACTATTTCATGCCCTTTCTGCTTCAGTCTGTCCAACACTTCCCGCATGGTGAACCAAGGACTCCCATCCACCCATGTTACCAACAGCTTCCCACCAGCAGCCAAACTGAGCACAGACAGGAGCAGAACCAGCGTCGCCGTGACCTGCGGATGAGCACTAAGCACCGGGGCCATTTCTGCAGCAACCTGGTGAGTGCTGCCCAGAAAGCAAACCACTGGCAGCACTGAAGCAATAGCACCAGCTCCGCACTTTTACACAATCTGTGCTACAGCCTGACTTTTGAACCTTGGAGGTATTTACTCTGTGGTAAATGAATAATCATTCCTATGAAAAAGGCTGCATAATAAGCATTCATTCCAGCCGAGTCCACAGGCCAGTGGCAAGTGACACACCTGGCAACGCCCATCTGCTTCTATCAG